CTATTTAATGCTGATAATAAACACACCGTTTCGGTTTAGAATACTGGTAGCGTTGAGAACGTCTTTCTTTTTGTCTTTTTGATTAGCCTAACCAGATAAGCTTTTCACTTCGTTTCTCTTTTTGTAAACGTTTTTTATATCCTAAAGAAAGTCAATAGAAGAAAAATAGAAAATTATAATAATTATGAAATCTAAATGAGGTGATAAAGTTCAGACTCATTATTGTTTTGCTTCCTGAAGAAAGAATGAAACAAAAAAAAGAATAGAGAGATTCTAATGCGATATAAAATGTTAAGATGAATAGTTTTTGATTACGATTACGTGGAAAAAAAGGATTGTAATTTATTATGAGTAATGTAGTGTTTAAATCAACTAAACATTCTGACTATTTTCAATGTTATTTTTTTTTATAAATTAATTACAAAAGAAACGTCTCTACTATAAAACTAAGGCTCCTGTTTAAATGTTAAGTAAATTTTAATAAAAACTAACTAAAAAATTCAATTTTTGCTAAGTATTTTATTTAAATTCTGAGTGAAAAAGTTTGATTTTCTAGGCAAAATATTGTCAATCTCTAGATGAATATACAATTTTTTTGTTGAGTAAAGAAACATAAATATATAAGTAAAAAATTTAATTATGCAGTTATTGTATTAATAAAGATTTATTAAAATAGTACCGATTCCATCGTTTTTCTTGTTTAATGTCCATTTCAGCTAGTACATCATCAAAAAAGCTTTTGTCTTTTATTCATTGAAATTTATATTAAATTCTTTTCTTTTCTTGAATATCTTTCTGGTCGATTTCCACTTCGTTGTCCAATTCTGATGAGCTTTCTTCACAATTGTTTTTAAAATCGAAATAAATTTTCAATGGCACATATGTTATCAATAGATACAACACTCACAGAAGGGCAACAAGAGAGAGACAATGTATATTTCATACCACCAGGAAAAAAAATATCCATTTTTTTCTCTGATTATTTTACTTTGTTTTAATCATAAATTACTTAATAGTAATAATTTTTACTTATCGAATTTGTTTTATAACTATGATTTCAATTTATTAACTTAATGAAAAAATATTTTACTTGTATATTAATTATTTAACTTAGCAGATATTTTTAATTGACTGAACGTTCAATAATTCCACTTAGGATTTAAATTATTTACTGATCAAATACAGATTTTATTTAGCAAAAAAATTGTTGTCAAAAACTAATGCATTATTGTATTAACATGATATGGGATGAAATGATTCTGTATGTGTAGTATAAAAAAATAATATTGAAAATAGTCAGAATGTTTAGTTGATTTAAGTATTACATTAATCAAAACAAATTACAATACTTTTTTGTTCTGGAAATCCTAATAAAAGTTATTCATCTTAGCATTAAATTAATGCTAATGCTAATCTGACATCCCTCATATAGATTAAAAATAGCATTCATTTTATTTAATAAATAGAAAAACTTTCATATGAAAATTTACTACGCACTATTCTAGGAGATATGCAGAACTTCTATAGAACTCTATTTGCTTAAACTGTACTTATGACGTTCAATGTTACTGTTAGAAAAGCTCAAAACTGTGTCTTTGATTTTTTTCAATAAGACTTGAACAGTGTTCTTCACTAATCAACCAACTTGAATTTTATGCTGGAAAAGAATCAATTAGTAATCTATTCATAAAGTTTGATACTGTAGCAAGCTTTTTTATTTTATACCATTTCGAGAATCATCGGTAAAAGTTTTAATTAACGTGCACGGTAGCACATCTTTTTTTGTCATTCATATTGAATGGAAATAAAATCAAGTTCATTGATTAGATTTGATTGTTAAATGATGTTTTTGTTCGTGTTCATTACCTGACGGAAGATCGAAAAAATATCAATTAAAATCCAGTAAATCTATGCTCCTTTTCATAACTTTCAATTTACTCTTGTTGAACAGATAGACTGATATTCAACAAATAGATGCTGGTATCACTAAAGTGCACGACATGATTTTAGCCCACTTTTTGTTTTTGCAATATCTTGGCTGCGGGTGTTGATATGAGTGTAGATTTTCTCGTCATCGATACCCATATCCATACCGCTTGACAATGTTGCAGGTTGTCGAAAATAATGGCCATTATATTGTTGATTGATGTTGCATATTTTTGTCGTAAAATAAATTTGTTGGTGAACAAAAAAACCTGCAGAACTTATGTTACAATCCAATACTTTTGAGAGTGAACTACGCTGGAAAAAAGTGCTATCGTTCGAATTCAAAGCAAAGTTTCTGACTTTAGAATCTAAAGACATGACGATGGATTTTACTCAACGGTACATATTCTTGTTTAGAACTTTGTTATTTGCCTGGCTAGCTAGTTTAAAAGGTCAAAAACTTTAGTTTTAGGGTCAGGAATTTGGAAAAATCAAAATTAGCCTTGTTTTCCGAAAATTTCTTTTGAGAAGACTGACCTAGAAGATCCACCATTTTCAACTTTCAAATACATCAACTTATGCAGTTTTTCACATTCTTTCTTTTGGTGTATAGTACATCTGGGTCGAAAATAGTTTGAAGGGAAAAAATGATGGTTTTCCATGTTTCTCACTGCTTTCCAGCAAAAACGATTTTCGTAGGTAAAGATATACTCAAAAGTTAAACATTTCATCATCAGATAGCCTGTGAAATCCTCTATCAGAACTTGCGTATTAGGTTTATTGCTTTTTCGAAAAATCAGTGTTTTTCATCTAACATTGTCAAACTTGGTCGCAGTTTCATGATTTTTTCAGAGAATATAGCACTCACTGTTGACTACATTCTGGTAAAAAAATGAGTCCTCTCTCTGGTAAGAAAGACAAGATATTGTATATAAGAACCGTATGTTCCAAAGTAAACAGTAGGCGAATTCATTTTTCGAATTCTTATTCACTAAAGTATTGATAAATAAGCTGACATTTTCACATGCATGATCATTATGAAATGAATGTGTGCTGGAAAAATCACAGGAATCAATACTTGTATCTTTGAGCAAGAGCACATGTTGCTTTTTAATAATCAATCAATATGTTAAACAAATTCATATCCTCGATAAGAAACAATGATTTATCTTCAAACTCTGTAATCTTAATCAGTATTGAGTGCCTTGGTATTGATATAAATTTGAGTCATATCAGAGCGTGTTTAGTTAAGATTCGAATATATTAGTACAAAATTGCAGCAAAACTAGTAATAGTAATAATGTATCTCTGCTCAGGAGGTCTAGAAAATTAAACCATTGTAAGGCTGTTAATAACTTACTGCGGTCTATCGTTTGAGCATATATATAATCGAAGAACGATTTGACAGTTGGGGATATTCGTTAGTGAGTTAGATTTTATAGATGACATTTAAATACCATGAATTGTGGATAATTATTTCGGAGTGAATATTCACAATACTTATAAACAATCCTCTCACTACCATTCTGGAGACGGCAGCACCACAAATTTTCATGTTTATTATTACTTGTTTGTCATTTTTTTTGTCAACCTCATTTAGTGCAGCTGACATTGAATAGTATTTTTCTGCTAAAGGTTTAGCATTTACTGGATGTCATTTCTCACTTGATCGTAATACTATGAATGGTATTTTTTGTCTGTGAGATTCATTTAAAATGTTTATAAACAGCAGACAGATTTTTTTCTCAAAATTATTGACTTCTTATTTCTTCACTGCCCTATGTAACACAAATTACCAACTAGAAAAATCTTCTTACAGTAAACGGTTTCTGATCTACTCCTATTCCTCGACGTTCTCGTGCACACATAATAAGAAAATACATTAGAACGACGAACGCTTTTGCACATTCACATTAGAGAGTTTTTACTATATAAATCTCAACTGATCACAGCGACTTGTTTAACTTTCCCTAGAGATTCATAATCGATTCGATTTTATTTTATTTATTATATAGACAAGAACAAAATACACAGGCTAGAGAAAATGACAGACAGATAAATCAGGTCGAAGAAAGGATATGAGAGGTACAGGCATGCTCGAAAACGTGTAGACTTCTCAAATACCTGCGAAATCTAGAAAAAGTCCGGCTGATGGATCCTCAAATAAATATATATATATATATATATGTAACCAAGCTTTATTTTCGAAAATATATATTAGTTCACGCACATCGACTTCATACATGAAGCTTTATTGATAAAAGCATAATAATAACACAAGAATATAATTTAGAAAATCTTGTTTCAATAATACAGCAATACAGAAAACATGTTTTGATATTAGCACAGCAGTACAAAAAGCGACAAGCAAGTTTAGTATGAAAGCAATAGAGAGTAAAAAATGATTGTCAACTTTAACGAGACGATCCATTTGCGCACTTTGTAAGTCATTGTATAATAGGAAGGCGAAAGACAAAATCGCTCAAGTTCCAATCATTAAGAAACCAAAGCTAGAAATTTATAGGATACGTGATTAAAACTGTTATAAAATATTTTTTGATAAAAGAATATTACCAATAAAGCAATTGATATTGCAATTGTTGATGAATGTGTACTACTTGACTTCGACGAAGTTTGCAATGATGTTGTGTGATCTGTTGCTGTTATCGCTGTTGTTGTTATCGTTGTTGTTGAAGTTTCATCTGAAGTAATTTCAAGATAAAAGCAATGAATTGCAATTATTAAAACACTTCCTACACACCAAAACCACTAAGTATCTGAAATTTCTGTACTCGATGATTGTTTCCATCGCTAATAAAAAGAGATCCATAGCTATCAAATGCCAATGCAGTCGCATAATTCAGCGTATCAATTCCATTTCCGGAAACACCAGTACAAGCCGCAATACATTCACCAGAATTCGAATTTGGTGGCCATCGAAGAATTCGACTGTTTGCATAATCCACTATATACATGTATCCATTTGAGTCAACAACAATTCCTGTCGGATACGATAGCTCAGATAAACTATTACCACTAACTCCAGTGCCTGCTACTGTTACACCAGAGGAAGCTCCATTATTCCATTTTTGGATCCGATGATTTGAGCTATCTACAATATACAAGGTTCCCGCTTCATTGACAAACACTCCTAGTGGTACATTTAACTGCGAAGCACTAGTTCCACTGGTACCATCTCCAGCGACCACCACACCAGGCATACCACTCGATGAGTTCGATAAATAACGAACCACTCTACTATTGTCATTATCACTCACATACAAGTTCTCATTACTGTCCACAAATATATAGTAGCAAAAGCCGATTGTTGATGTATCTGGACTGCTTCCGGATACACCCGTAATTCCAGCCATGGTGACTGGATTTGTTCTATTTTTGAATAATTTTACCACGCGAAAATTGAGCATGTCTAAGATGTAGATATATTTTTCAGTGACGAAAACATCAGCAGGATAGTTAAATAGAGGACTTGGGTCAGATGCATTTTCAATGACTGCTATAGCCGTAGTTGAGTTGGACCCAATTACAACAACTCGATTATTGACCATATCAGCGATATAGAGGTTATTGTCATTTGCAATGTTTATTCCTTGATTCCTAAAGAGAGCAGATGGAGACGATCCAGGTGTGCCATCTGCCAATCCTGCGACTCTGGTACCGTTCTGAGCCCAACGTGCAGAAGGTGATAGATTTGGTATTGCTAAACACAACATACAAGTGTTGACATTAACTAGATTTTCTTTTAAAGTACATGAATATTTTCTATTATACTAGTCAATGCCTATGAATATTGAAGTGTAGATAAATAATAGGAAAACATTTCGATGAATTCTTTCATATAGAACTTTCTGTATTTGTATCTTTGAATGCTTTTTAAAATTGTTTTCATTTAAATCTCTGCAGAAAAATATTTTTATTTTTTCTATTTCAATAAAAATAAATTTACTGAAAATGAGGTTGTCTGCTTCTTCTACATGATTTGTATTTGATAGTATTAGAGCTCTTCCAGTAATGATTATTAGACAAATTGAGACAAAGTAAGTGCTTATAATGACTAGACACTAATCGTCTGTTCATTATTTATCATTTCATATTTACTGAGTAGATATAAAGTTGAAGAGAGTGTGTTCAAAAACTTCTGTCCTTCATTTAAAAGAACTTTTATCTGAGGATCAATAGAAAAAGAAAGGTGGTCTTAATCTTGACTATTAGAGTGATATTCAAAAAACATATACTTCGTATCGTAATGTATTTTCGTTGCAACAATGTTGAAGAATATTCTCATACTTCTAAAATCACAAAAAAAATATTATTTCCTTTCAAAGACGGAGCATCTTACAGGAAAAACTAAAAAAAGGAGACATCCTTATTATCATGCAGATGACGAATTCGCTTTTGTTTCTTCTCTTTCTCCTATCCTGATCTCTATTAGTTGAACCATTTTTTTTGTATTTAAGCGTCAATGAGTGTTAGGATCTCATAACAAAGACAAATGTTGATGTAATAACCGGTGAATGAGAAAGACATTATATTTCTTACCGTCGGTGCAATGCACAGATATCATTGTAAGTATCCAAAAGCCAATAGTTGTCGTAGATGAGGTGCACATAAGCATTTTCTGTTGAGATCACATTAATCGTGAATAAAGTCGATTAGGTAATACCTTTATTCTTGGCAAAGAGCGATTTTTCACGAAAGAATTTTTCTAATAAAATATGTGTACAAAAGTCATTATTTCGAATAGAATTGAATATCTTGTCGCGTTCATTTACATGAATGAGTTGATTTTTGTATTATTAATAAAAAAATATATATATAGCTACTGTTCATGAAGAAAATCTTTACTAAAATAGTTTCAAACAGTAATCTGACGACCTAATAGGAAAAAGGAATTTTGTTCATCATTTCTACGAATAGTGCTTAATATTTACTGTAATGTTTCGTATCTTGTTCATTTAGTGTAATCACTCACTTTGAACGATAAAAAGAGAAAGATATGGTCAATGTACTATTGTAGGTATTGATGAACGATTAATATCGGTATCATTCATTTAGATCATGAGGATAACTTAGATAAAATCTATTACAAGTGGCTGAAAAGGTTTCTCCTTTCTATTGAGCCCGATGACGGTATTTTGAAACTCTTTTGATAAAGACCTTTGTCATGAATATTAGCTATGAGTATTTTCTCCACTAGTAGTGCAAAAATCAATTCATACTTGCAAAACACGATAGTGAAATGTTCGATTTCTGTTTCATCTGATGCAGATAATTTCATATTGAGTATATAGTCTGAGATGAATTTTTTTCAGTAATGTTCGGATTTTCAAAAAAAACAAAAAAGGATATTTCCTTGATGAATAATCAAATTTAAAAAACTGTTCCTATAGAAAAACTATATAAGCAAGAAATAATAAAGCCATCAAGACAAAAGAAGTGAATTTCTGAGAAATATCGATGATTAATCCTATAGCAAAAGAAGATTTGTAGGATACTACTGAATAACTCTCTAATACTTTCGATAATAAGCACTTCAAAAAATGAAAATTTCTAACTATTTTCAAAATCTAAACATTGAAAAAGGAATACTGTTCAGAAATGTCTGCAAAAAATGTTTCAGGAAAAAACAAAAATAATTCATGGCAATCATCCATCTAATTCTAGCATCTATCTGTGAAAGTAGTATCAAACTTCATTAAATACATAAATTACTATATATTGATTCTATATGAATATCAATGTATTTTCATGTAGAGTACAAAGACCTACCCTAAAACTTATTGGTAATTTGAGAAATTAACTAGAAATTTTGGAAATTAGTTTTTATTTATCCATTAGCAAATCTATCTATTGTATTATTAAGAAGAAGACGTTACCTTTTGAAATATTAGAACCTTTCGAAATTTGTTAATAATTTCTAAAATTACTAATATTTTAGAGGGTAGAGTTCTCTTTCTAATACTAAGCTCCTTCTCCTGTGAAAAGTCGATCATAGATCAGATTTATTCAAGGTGTATGAAATTATGAAGATATGTTGGTCCTGTAATGAGGCTATGCTGTCATTGTTGCACTTATACCATAACTTTCGACTGATATGGAACAAACAAGGGTCAGAAATAACTCATGCAGGACACGAGAGTGCTTGTTTTTCTTACTTTTTAAGCGGAGAAACGGAAAAAAGTTCAATAACTGTAGTAGCTCATAGAAATACATTCTAATTATGAAAGTACTGTTTTATACAATACAAGCAATGCGTATTTCAAAACAAGAAGTCGATCATGCGTTGCATCTTGGCGTCCGCTTTCAAACAAAATTAAATGCATGAAATAGTGAAATACAAAGAATTCTGAGTTCCACGATGAAAAAAGTATAAACAGAGAAAAAGGAAGAAATGATTTCGCGCCTTTGTCGAACAAAAAGCATATGTTTCAAGTAGAAAATGACGAAAATGATCTAAACTTTTGAAGAAACGGCGTTTTGAATAAAAAACACGTGTCATTTATGAAAGATCGGACGCCAAGCTAGGTTGCCGTGCATTTATCTCTATTTCTATTTTGTAGGGTGAAGTTTAACAGGCTAGTAAGAGTAATGATATGGAAATAGAATTTCAACAGAGAAAGGAAAGGAAAAAAAACTAATATCAATATTGAAGTCAACAATGAATAAATTATCTTTCTCTCGTTTTAATATTCCGTAAATGCGTTTGCTGTTCATATCACTAATAACCATTGTGAGAAAATACCAGAAACTACTGTAGTTAATTTATGATTGTGATTCTTACCGGAGTAGATTGATAGCAAGTGGGAATATCGAGTGAATGTAGATAAACAAAAATCTATCTCAATTCTTGCTATTTTTCTATTCTTTTGTATTCATATTTTCGATTCAAAATCTACAAATACTAATTTAAGAGCGTATTATATGGTTGTCGAGAGAGAAAAACGCCAACATTAATGCATTTAATGTGACCAAAAAATTGTAATTAGAAAGTAGTATGTGTTGCTATAGTGAGTTGGAAGAAACAACACTTCAAGAATTAATTGTAATTTATTTTCTTATACTTCAAGAAAACAAGTTCTCAAATTTTGACAACACTTTTTGTTGATTGCCATTTATTATTTTAGATGTCTAACACGAAATTTGTAATAAAATGTTCATAACAAATAGTTTCATTCACTAATATTATTCTCAACCAATTCAAAGAAGCACATTAGAGTACATGTTTTCTTGGTTATAAAATATTATGGAGATAATCTTGATTGGATCAGAAAAACAAAAGTACTATTCATTTTCAGCAACTAGTAAATATTCATAGGCAGGACACACAGTTTACCTTACAGAGCACACCAATTGGTCAGATAGTAGACTCGTCTAAAGGAGTACTAATTTTTGAACCATTTCATCCATTCAATCTGCTTAGCATTTATCCGTTGTCAATGGACGAGTACAATATTCGAAATGAAGTAATCTCAACATGCGTATTTGTTCTTCTCCTCACCTTTTGCATTATCATAACTGTCATCTATATGTATCAAATGAGTGTTATCCAATCGATCACTATCATACATTCAGAATTTGACCATATTCGGGCGCTCATTCGCCACTATCATCAAATGCTCACTTGTCCATGTGGAAATATTATGATTAGAGCGAGCGTTCCTAATTTAAATAAATTTTTTGCAGATGCATAAATTTCCCTTTTTTTCACGTTATTTTTAAAGAAACTTATGAACTTCTTATATTATTGAATGAAAAAATGTTTGCTGAATCGAACAAGTCAAAAACCGTTCAATTATCTTGAAAACTCGCTTAATAATTATCGATAGCTTGAGGGTTATTAACTTCTTCCTTATTCGAAAGCACTATGCATAATATATAGAAAATTAAATTTTTTTAATAAATGAAGTTTTTTCGTTTTCTAAACTTGAAAGTTGATTTGTACTTCAATAACAAAAAAGATGTTCCTTAATGGATAGTCTATTAACTTACAATAGTTTAAAACAAATGAAGTTTTTCTTTTATTTTTATCAAATAATATCAATTTAAAAAATTTTAGTTTCATTTCCATAAAAAATCTAAAAAAGTCGAGTTGTATCTACACGTTTTCTTTTTCTAATTGTATTTGGTTTATTTTAAAGATAACTCATGTTTCAGACAATCGTATATTCGACACAATTTTGATAAACCATAATAATTGCAA